CGTTCGGACGAGGTTTAATTAAAACAGGCGCGCGCGCAAGAGTATACCTATGAATTATATTATATATAATATAATACATAAAAGCGGTACGCGTGAAATCGTCCAAAGTATTTTTCGTTTTTACCTCTACTGCATAGTGAAAGAGAAACAGAGGCAGAGACGAAGCAACAGAGAGAGAGACTTATTGAGTGCATGTGTAGGTATAATTAATATATGGGTATACGTACGCATTCGATCGTCTGACTCCGTTAATGGGGCCCGAGGAAATCGATTCGACTATTCTCGTCGTGAAAAGTGGGCGTCGCGCGAGACGTGCTTCTGCAGTTGTGGTGTCCGATGTTTTATTTTTTTTAATTACTAATAGTCTTCTTTGGAATTTTTGTCGACTAACAAAAATTCTGTCGTCAAAAGTCCGCCCGCCCACCCGTAATGAAATAAATAGTAATTTATACATGAGGTACCTATCTATTATTTGGTATCTGCATTCTTATAATATAGGCTATTACTATATATTATCAATATATTTATTTAGATCATGAATCTACTTTGCAGCAGACTACGAATTTAATAATAMATTTACAATAGGTATGATGGGTATATCATGTATAATTAGGTAATACTTATTTATATAATCGTAAAGTTAGGGAACGTTGTTAGGTCAAAACGTAAAAAAAAGAAAACACGGTTTTAATAACCATAACCGATGATAAAGAAAAAATGAACTATTATGGTTCTTAAACTTAACTTGGTGTAATCGTATTTCAAAAATTAATCACGAAAATATATTATAATATGATAGAATTATATCATGTTTTTATCTACAAAAATATGCAATAAACATTTTTGGAATTAAAATCTAGCGATCGTGAAACATATTTGTATCGAATTAGATTTTAAATATGCACTTTCCTGACAAATATGCAAATGCATAAAGTTCCAAGCCCTGTTCATGATACGTTAAGTATAATATATAATATGTGTGTATATAATATTTCACATGTACGGCAGTCTTCGAGTGGATTATATACATATTATTATATTAATAACTAGGGTGGCGACGGCGGCGGATTTCTTCGTCCAGAATTCCGACATACGTTGAATTCCAAAGTTTTAATTATGCCAGCCGAGTCAGAAAAACGACGAGGGTATAAAAACGATTATTATTATTAGCATAGCGGCGCTATACACTTGCATATCATTATTATTATTAATATTGTATATAATCGAGATGTAATTATGTAACAGTATATACGAATATGGCCGAAGCTGAGATTTTGGAATGTCGACAAATTTGAATTTTTACGAGATATTTTAATTCAATATCCGTATCGGGGGAAAAACCGAAAAACTCGGTATCGTAAAATATTGTATTTTGTTATCGTAATAATTATATTTTGTTAATAATATAAGATACACTACCATGTATATAAAGTATATAAGTTTATATATTATATATACGCATACGCATACGCCGAATCTTCACTGTCTTGGTAAAGTGCGTATCTAAATCATCGTCGTCATCGGAAACCCGTATTATATATATATATATATATAATATCACAATATGATATCTTGTATACATTGTTCTAGAGAAATTCTTGAGCTTTTTAAACTTTATTCTTTAGTATTTAATAATGGCAACGACTGTAATGAGTATGGTGGTGTCGTGATGCTCGTAATATGCAACAGTTTATCATTATTTTACATTTGATAAAAACGACCGTTTGACAATCAAAATGTATAAATTACGTATTTGTTTCAATAGGTATAAAGTTCTAACTAATAAAAATTTTGTTGTCTTCATAAATATTTGTTGGTGTGTCTAATGTATAGATGAAAAATTTTGATATATTTTTACGTAGAAATATCTTACATGTTACTTAAGTATAGAATTTTTGTTACTTGATGGAGAAATTGGTAGGTACTTACATTTAAATCCTACTTCGGTTATATTTTTATATTGTACCTACATATGATGATATACGTATAATATATTAATCTTCGGATTATAGTGAAACTGTTTTCAAACGCAATTATAAGCTGTTTATAATATTAATCGAATGTCTTTTGTAAATAAACCCCCTCCGCGTAACTTTGGCATATAATAACACGGCTTATATGTATATAAATCCGAAGCTGTGCTCTTGTAATATAATATTACTATATAATATATAAAATCGGTCGTGTCACGATAATCATAAAATTACGCGTGTTTACCTGACTTGACACATTTTTTTTATCGCTCAATAAATACCGCCTTCGATATTATTCTCTCTTTCTCTCTTTCGATTTTTATCTATATACATCATATATTATATTTTCTCCCGGGTGCATATGCGGATGATTAACGGCTATATAAACGCGTTCATAATATTATAAAGGTATATTATATATATTATTATTATAATTTGCGCTGTTCTACTTAATAGTTTAAAAAACTGGTCGTGAAAATTCACACATTACACTGCCGCCAAGCGTGTACGATTTTTTTCTTTTCAAATTATATAATTTAATAATAATACTTGCATAAAAAAAAATTGTGAATTTTTCTAAGAAGTCGTATATGCATGTAATATTATCCTCGGTAGCAAACGGGAGAGGTAAAAAAAAAACAATCTCATTATATATTATTATTATACCTACTCGTTTCAAATACGGAACCATTAAAATAAACGTTATACTGCAGTACTCCGTATGTATCGATCGTCCTGTCTGAATAATAATAACAAAAACAACAATGATCACTCTCTCACACACACAAGACACAAGTACTCAAGTTTATATGTAAACACACGATATCACGAGTACTGGACKCAGACGGGTCTCATGTATTCCATACGGCGAGGAGAAAAAGTAAATATAAATCAATATCGCCAAAAAAAAAACTTTCTCGGCCGACCGAGATCGACGAGGTTGCCGCCGCGCTCGGTGTGCAACAGTTTCCGACGGGTGCCCTTCCGTCACGTATACGGAATGTAGTCGTATAATATTATTATTAAATACATATATATATATATATATGTATAGTATAGGAGTAGTACTGCCGCCGTTGCAACCGATCGGACGTCRTTTAAGTTTAATAATAATAATATAATACCTATACGTCGACCGATTTGGGCTTGGTATAAACGGGACCGGATCTGTGCAACCCGCACTAATAACAATAATTAATATCGTCGATAATACGCATACGACGACGACGACGACGACGACGACGACGACGACGCACATACAAAACAGTGTGCGGATTTTTTTTTCGACTATACACAGTAYACATATTTTATGCGCGAGGCGACTTTGCCGAGTATATATATCTAGGTTACGCGAACGTATCGAGTGCGTATTCCTTAACGAGAGAGTATGTTTATATATATATATATAGGTACCTGTACATAATATATACGCGCGCAGTGTGCGTTTATCGAAAACCTCTCCCATATCTGGTTACGAGACCTGTAATTATAACCGGCCGAAAAATCGAAACAAATAAATAAAAAAAGACCACTCATTTCGATGTCTAAGCTGGTATTATTATAACGTATATTATAATATTATTATATGCCGCGTGACGATTAATCAAATTCGAACGATCGTCGGTGATACTGTCTCTTATCCTTATCTCTCTCTTTCTCTGTGTGTAAAATCGTCGACCATACGCATATTTTACTACCGCATAACCGCGATAAATTATTTTTATTATTCTCATACTACTGAACACTGCAGTTTTTGACGTAAACGACGGTAGTTATAAATAATATTATAATATAAAAAAGAGAAAACCGATACCGATCGTGGTACGATATTAGCCATCCGATTTTAATTATTATTATTATCAATATTATTACTATATTTATTGAACGATAAAAAAACCGTTCGGTTCACCGTAGTCCGTAGATATACTGACATACTGTATAACATAGGTATTATTATTATGTATCTCTATAGTGCCGCCGCCACGATCTTTTTAGTCTCGCGTGACATAATGACGGATGTAGTCGCGYGGAATATCGTAATAAACACTCGTCTAGATCGGAAATAACTCTAGAAACTCGTATGCAGCGCATTTGATTATATGCGATCGATTGTATAGAGTAGTAATTTATATGTCATAATATACACACATTTCAATAAATTGTTCACGCTAGTCGTATAGGCTGACGACGACGATGTGACCACACACACACACCACRCTGTCATAAAATAGTGACGTCTGATATAAATACTGGAAATTGTTTTTCCTCTATAAAATGTAAGTAACGGATATGTTAACAGAACTGTTGAATGTTGAAAATGTTAATGATTTGATAGTTTGTCGTGAATCATTCAGACATCCCAAAAATTCCTGATCTAAACCGCGGATTATCCAGATCTTAGAATATACGTGTTTCCATTTATTACCATAGGTATAATGTAGGTATTCATGTAAAAATACTACTATTACTAACTACGGGTATAATATTAAATAATGTAATGTATTTAGTTTTTTTCGCATATATATACTCGTAACATCAAAACATTTTTGTATTGGAATCACGATTTAAATTTTTTTTTAAGGATATATCAAGTATCGAAGTCATGGATTTTGTGATCATGATATAATTATTATACAGTAGGTTTATGCATAATATAATATAGATATTAATATACTTTATATGCTGTGTATAATATATAAACCAATGAGTTTAAGAATAAGAAAATCTGTGGAAAACTCAAGTTTAAGAAAATCTAAATTTTTTCTCAGCACTTGATGGTTAGGTAAAGGGTTAAATAAAGGGGTTTGAGTTGAAGATTTTAATGAGCTATAGATGACGAATATTATATTTCTATGGCAAACGTAAACCCATATTTTATTGTGATATAATACTATAAAATATGCTGTAAAATCTCACAAAGCTTTTAGATTTCTTTAAGAACAAAATATGTAATATGTAACATTATATTTTATACGTCATAATAATAAATAACATTATAATAACGTGATTATTGTTATTGATCTGTAGGGCAACATGCACCCTTCTTTCCCGTACGAGAGTGGCCGTTCCCGAGGAGGCGAGTACGGTTCCGGCGTCGGTGGAGTTCGAGGCCGAGGCGACGTGCTTGTACAGTCGCATCCAGGCTTAGAGGACTCGCTGGTCCTGCACAACGCCCTGTCCAGCGTGGTGGAAGAAGCTCAGGTATAAGTCATCTCGYTCAGATCTATTAATTATTATTTTTACAGAAATCCATCACCACCWTAATGGTACCATATCAATTATCATAGTTATAATATTACGCGTACCTGCAGCATGTTATTATTYTGAAATAACGCGCAAGGGTTGCAGCAGCGCTGAGCCGCGGGTGTCCGGAGACACGCCTTATATCGACCGGGAGAGGGTTGAACCGGTCGTCATCGGTTAATTAYCGGTTGCTTTTAACAAGTATACAACGCATTATAATCAGCAAGCCCGTCGTCAGTGGAGGGTAGAAATATCACGCTCGTATTCGGTATCGCGCGCGAATCGTGTATATAAATATAGGTATAGGTACTGCGAATTATCACGATCTACACCTTTATTGCTATATAACCGTGGTATAGGCTAAGTACAACGTGCGTGTTGTTTATACGTGAGCTGATAAAACTAGAATACGTACGATGTACAGTATATGCCCAGAGAATAATAAATATAACATAAATTAAAATTGAGTCGCGATAAATAGGTAAATTATATAGTAATATCATTAGAAAGATATTTGGTTGATAATATTTGACGTTTAGACTGTTTATTTATTAAATCTTCTAATTTCTTACAGTGATATGCTTCRAATTTAGAAGTGTCCACGTCTTGGACAAATTCAGAAAATTGCCTAACAGTTTAGAATGATGACATTGCTAGGATTTTCGTAATAATATTTGTAGTTTATTTTTGGTAGGTACTCATAATTTTCATAATTTACGGAATCTCTAATAATAATTAATAAATTATTGATACCGTTGATATTATTATAACAGTCCGCTGATTACAATAGTACAGCATTACCATTGAATATTGTGATGCATATAGATTATTAGCATGGGTACAATTGAAATGTAAAATTTGTTGATCGGCATAATATGAGTTTATCTGCTACAATTTTCCAACCGTAATTGTTTTCTAAACTAGATATCTCTCTTACATTAAAATATCCATATGATATAATATAGGTAGGTACTTTGACCTAACTATTTATCAAATATCTTCGAGTTAATGACACTAATAATATGTTGAATGTTTCAAGAATTTCACAGAAGAAAAAATCAAGTATTACCTATATTCAAGATTTTCGAGCTATTTTCCAGGTTTGAGTATCGTGACTCGATTGTACCTACATATTAATATAATATAATGATACAACCAAGTGTAATAAACGATACCGTACCCGGCAAATGATTGATGAGATTATTCGGAACGAGCGCGTTGATCTGACGATGATCCGATGATTTTTAATTACACAAACAAAAGCACCGCCGACGATCATTGCTGCAATACTGTGCGCCGGGGCTATACGTGCGCGCAGGAATTTTCACCACAAATGATACGACCGCCGGTGCAGCATACTGTCCGTAACAGACGCCGAAATATATGAATATAAAAAGAAAACGCTTATTGTATTTCAATAACAAACCTGCTTGCTATATACAAATCAATCTCTCATAAATATTACATAATATAATATGTTATATTATACACTAAATAAGTTGTTCATTGTTTAGTTATACTGGAAAGGAGGTCTGAACCCCTAAACCAAAGGTTTTTAACGATCTCTGGATCATGGGCACTTTATAAGTATAAAGTAAAATCGTGGGTTCCTTCCCCCTCCACCGCAAAAGAACCAGTATCATTTTTTGTTTCGATTATTTTAGTAGTTTAAAATACATTAATTTCAGTATGAAATTTATAATGGTCATACCTGCTACGGCTTCAAAACTCTTGGCCCCTCCATGGATCCCCGAGTACGTACCCCCTACAGAAGACCATGGACTACCAGTTGTAATCCTCCGCCATTAACCCTTTTCCCTTGAATATGTAAACCTTCTATCGTTATAAAATTCCGATCGAACGAATTACCATACGCCGTTGTAGTGCTGCTAATACGATTTCGGAATTATATATAAAGATCCAAAATCACTATAGTCATTTTCCGTTTCGTAATAAAAAATTTAAATATTTTTCTTCTTCATAATTTAAAATCTGAGATGGCTACAACGTTCATTTACGTAAAATTGTTAATTATACTCATGTCCATAAAGTATTCAAATAGCCAGGTATTGCCTACTTATATTTAGTACATTATACGTTTTAAAGTTTGAATTTAATAAAACGGAACTCTTTATTTACACGGGAATACTATATAGATGTAATGACTGCAAATAGTACCTACCATTACGCAGTCGATATAATAATAATTAATGCCGCCGCCGCCGTCGTTCAGTCACAAGTGGAAATAAGTAATAGTATAGCTATACCTATATACACGACTGCTGTTGTGGCTCTCTTCGGCATTTAAATGAACATGTATAATATACAATATCAATTATTGTTATTGGCACATAGACCAGCCGCTATGCAAGTATTTATACGTATTTTTTGATAGGTTTAACCAATCTCTATAGGCAGTATAGGCACTCCTCTTGTAGAGGAGAACCGCTGCCGCCGTTATAAGCGCATTATTTCAATACATACTGTCCCGTGTATATCTTATACACATATACCTATATATTCTTATATACATACGGAATATAATATATATTATGATATGATATACGGTAGATATGACGAGTGTGGTGGTAGCATATAATACTATACCTATAATACCTACACACATGCGTGCGGCGTGTCTGTGTTTGTATGTGATGCGGCGTGTGTCGGTGGACTACGGCTCCCGAGATACTGCCGTGTTTTAATTTTTTTTTAATCGGGTGCGCCCATAACTCGTTACGTCCCCGAAATAATATTAAAAAAAAAAATAAGTTATATATTATTATATATGTATCGTAAGCGGGCATACACATGATAAAGTATAATAAATCCGAAACGCGCGTTTTCGTTTTTTAAGTGGCCTTTCGCGTTCGATTTATCCGGTCGAGGTTAACAGTAATTATTATTATATCGAAAAATATAGGTACCTTGTGTAATAAAAATATGTATGTATACTCGACTACGTTATACTACTATATAATATTATATGTTAGGACAGAGATGATTCCCGATACGTTATATTATTTTATATACGATAATATTATTATCATGTGCGCGGTGGTGTCGAAGACGACGTCGGCGACGACGATGTAATTTATAATAATCTGGTGCGCGCACTTTTTAAAATAATAATGATACCAATGCAATGGTCGTTATAATAATAATAATAATATTATTATTATTTTATATACGACCGCAATCAAGCAGTAGCTCGTTTTCTATAATATCACGATATTGTTGGTACGCGTAATATGGGTACCTGGTGTATGATATATACGTAAACGTGTAATTATATTATACTTATAATTTAATATAATATATTATTGTACCTAAATAATACCGCGTTTGCCGTACTACGACTGATTATTTATTTTTTGTTCATTTTTTTCCCCCAACAGGAACACAACGTGGACGATAGCAGTTCGTTTATGAACGACTTGCCACTACTAAAACGTAAGTATACCTTCGTACTTTTAATTTGCCTAACATCATAATATGTTACTTATTTATGTTTGATGGAAAAAATTATTTTATGTATAAATGCTTGACGTCTTGATATTGCTATATGTATATATATATATATATATTTTAATATAATATATTATATTATGTTCGAATAGCACACGCGCGAATAATTGGCCTTTTACCTGTTACCGGTTCAACGCGCGTGTGTGTCCAAGACTCCGAACAGTTATGTTATATATTAATTGTAGGGGCGTTCGCCCGACGACGGTCCTCTCGGACTGCGTTCACGTGTTTTCTTTGTGATATTTAATTATGTTTTCGATTTCAATTATCCATCGTCCTAGTGTTAATCGTAAAATATTTGATGATTGATTTCTCGGCGGAACGCGAATTACGCGCACGCACCCACCGCATACGCTATACGCTACAGTAGTTTGATGTTTTCGTGGAAACGCGTCATCCCCTATGTTTAGGCACCGACGACGACAGCGACCGGTCTCGTTGATTGGCCGGCCGGCGGGGCCAATAAAACGGAAAAGTTCGACGTCCCGCTGACGACGAAATGTCGAGGGTCCTTTCGCCCCCAGGGCTCGGGTTCCCAGGTGCTTTATCCCAACCAGCAATCGACAATCGTCACCCCCTTCCCCGATTTTCAGGCCTAATAAACCCATTTGAATAATTATTTCATTAAGCATCAATGCGTGTCTCGCATGTAATCGTATTTATATATATACATATTAAATTTATTTAATTTTATCACGCGTGATTTTCCCATTCCGGTCCGACGGTTAGTTATACTTTTATAATATATATATATATACGAATCCCGCAACGATCTCCACGCGCCAATGCCTTGTATGATCTGTAACGACAAGACTTTCGTAGCTCACCCTCCACTCTGCACGTCCTATATGTTTGTATAACTCAATACACCAGCGCAGCATCATATATGCACGTCAGTTAAAAAAAAAATAATTTCTGTAAAATAAAAAATAACACGATGAAAATTTGTTCGCTAAATGGAAAAAGGGGTTGCATGCTGAACGTGATTTCGTGCTCGTTATTACGTTTATGAGTAGATTTTTTTCACCCCTCTAATGAGGATCCGCCCTCGCCTGGTTTCACGGCGATGACTTAACGGGTGAAGGCGAGGGGGGACGTGCATCTTTCCCCGTGTCTATCACCCACACACACACATACGTAATAATATATGTATATATATATATACTTTCTGATGCACCAACGCCACAAAATTCCGAATAATCACGTTTGCCGAAAATTCGAAATATTATGAAATATTATTTAGTATGGTGTAAACTTCCGCAGCGGTAATGACGTGATGGAAAATATAATATGCAAAACAGATTTTGGATACGGTCTTCATTATATTATTATTATTATTATTATTATTATACGTTTACGTGTTGTATTGTATTATTGTCGTTTTCTTCAATATTGCGTGTAATAGGAATACGCACATCGTGATTATAATATCCTTCTATATGATTATTGTATAATATGCCAGTATGCCACCATCATGCTCATGCGATATTTAATAATAATTATTATTATTAATAAATGTAACGATCGCGCGACATTGTATAGTATGCATTTAATACTGTGACCTATACATGTGCGTGTAATTTTCGAATATGAATAATATTGTAAATAACGAAAACAACGTTTCGGTTAGTACTTATAGGTATACATACCATTTATTATTTTCTTTCGGTTTCCGCTTCCCACCGTGCGTTTCACACCTCTATTGTAGTACAGTAGCTGTATATTATGCGACATTTGACGTGGTGGTAAGTAGGTACGCGCCGCGCTCATGTTAGGCACCTATGTATAATAATATATTAGACAGTTCATACACGTATACGGTAGTTTTTTTTTTTATACGTTTTCTGGGGGCGTCCACCGGGAACGGCCCAGAAAAACACGGCACCCCCTCGACGAGCGGTGCGTATACACGGCTAATTTGGGGTGTGCCACGTATGAATTGACGGGGGGCGTGCGCGGACATCTGTTGTGTTCGTGTTAGCGAATTTTTTTTTTTATTTCAAGTCCCATTGTCGCGATGTTGTGAAAAAGCACACACACGCTGCACAATCATTCCGCACCCTATCGCCCGAATCTGAGACGTTATAACATTATTATTGTATCCGAAGGCGGGTTTTTTATTCGAGTGGACGTATACCCATATTATTATATTGTGTTGTGTTTATATATGTATCGCGTGTGTTCGATATATTTTTAGTGAATTACCGTTACCTCAGGCTAAAAATGTTTGACCAAATGTTCGTCAAACACTGTAATGTCTATAATATTGTAATGTGTATATTAAATTATGAGTATACTTTCATACAATTCGAAATTTTTTTGATTGTAGTCTGAGTATTTTGTATAGTCGTTCACAATTGCTTATCCAATACACTTAATTTTCTATACTCATTGTAATGCTATTTTGAAGTAGAAACTATTTATTATTAGTAATATTCAAGGGATCGAAAAAAAAAATTGGCCACGTCGCCACGATGACATATATTATGTGAACTTAAAAACCAAATAAATTGAAAAAAAAATATATAATATATGTACATAGTATATGTAATGGGATGACGAGAACTTAAATTCAATTAAGTTAGGTTTAAATGTACAACGACGACTTTTTGACGGAAAATATTTTGTTAATATTGTAATTTTTTATTCTATAGGTATGTCCACTACCCCTTCGGATGTGTTTTGCAGCGTACCCGGACGTCTATCGTTGCTCAGCTCTACGTCAAAGTACAAAGTAACCGTCGGTGAAGTCCAACGCAGATTGTCACCTCCGGAATGTCTGAACGCTTCTCTATTGGGTGGCGTGCTCAGAAGGTAAATATTTTATTTTTCCGTATTATTATTTTAGCAATTCAGACGTACACGCTCTCATAAATAAAACGTGACCGAACAATCTGGGTGAACTATTGCATATGTGTATTTATGTGGGCGTGTGCGTGTGAGTTTAGAGAACAAGTGAAAACGACCACAAATTATATCACAAATTGGCTACATGATTGGTGATGTGTAGCCAAAACACGGAAGGTATATTCGTGGCAAAAAGTTACTTCTATGGAAACATCACGACCACGTCCACAGCTATGTCGAACTACTAATTTCATTTAACTATTAAAAACGACCGTCAGAGATAGGTAATCAATTACAATAATACACCTGATGAAAAATAAAAATAAGTATGCTGAAAATTAAAATGAATCAAACTTTATGAGTGCGGTGACCCCTTGTCAGACGAAGGGATACTATTCGTCGCGTATGCAAGTATCAACATGTTATTACCTATATATAATAATATATTACTATGCAAAGCAGAGTATGTGTATAATGTATATATAAATAGTTAATGCTACGTACCTACCTRTAGGACATTATTTCAACAAGTGCAAATCGCTAATACTAGGTTCGGTCGCGACTCACGAGTAGGTTGTTTTTCTCATATTTAATGTCTGTTTTATTATTATTATTATATTAATATAATATAAACGAGGTATAATAGGAAGTACCTACCTATTTTTCTTTATTTTTATTATTATTAAACGCAATAAATTCTTTAGGATCATCGTTTAATTTACTGTCGGCTTTAAAAAAAGAAAAAATTCCAAACCGTCACCCAKTGATGGTGGAAACGAAGAGCTTTCTATAAACATAATAATATTATATATAGGTACATGTCGTATATACGCGGGCGTGAGCTGCGGTGCATCGCGTGACGGTCAGTGAACACCTGTTGTGTATGTCAAGCGTTATAAGCACTTAAATCACGGGCGATTGGGTACACCCTAAAAAAGTCACTTAACGCGTTTTTATGTCCAGTAAAATATATACGCGTTTCATCAATCGTAAAGTTCTTTATTTCAGCGTTTTTATGATGCTCTTCGTCGTCAAGGGTTTTAATCATTTTACGCCTATATACGCGACACGACACTTATAATATTATATATTATGATATACACGAATAACATACACCTAATAATAATAATAATATTAACTATTATATAGATATATGTATATATTATACATACAATAATTGTGTAGTCTTCGAGTATGGAATACACGTTATATCGCTGTTCTTTAATTGCCTCAATGCTTGTCGACTTGTCGTAATAAAAACGATACCTATAATATAATATATTGTTTTATATAATAATCGTATCTATATTTGAAGCTTCAATGGGGGGGAGAGTTTCGTACACTCTTATAATATACGTAGTTAAGTGACATCCGATAATATGATACAACTTATACAAAAACTTCTGCAGGACATAATATTATATAACTGAATTTGCGGTATACAAGTGGAATTAGAATTTTTTCCACGATTTATATGTTTATCACGAGTGATTTTCAAAAGTTATCATAACAGTCTTTGATAAAACCATACAAACATCGACTTTTAAATTATTTGCTTATATTTTACTAGTCTTGGAGACAGTAAATTAACGTATGACGCTAGACGTTTGCTTGCAGTTTAAGTGYTTCAAATAAATCTTTTGGCTGAAAACTGTAGATCAATAGCGCTATATATCTTGTGTTTTGATGGAGCGAATTCCTTGATACCCAAATATCCAATCTTAAGTCCACCTGTGAGTTGCGATACGAAAGTCATCACCTATACTGTACAAGCAACAGCATTCATGTAATATTGTATGTTTGACGAAATTATCACAGCTTGAAAATCAGGAGTTTATGATTCATCGGTAGTGACGACGATGATGGTATACGGGAAACGCTATTCATGGTATAAATCATTATAATTTAATGTTATGAGTAGTCGATTTACAAAAATGCAATTTATCTTCGGCGAACAACGAATACACGTGTTTTTAGTGTTTCGTATAACATGTTCACCGTAAATAAGAATATTATATAATAATATATAACACGTTTTTATTTTTGTCGACGAAATACTCGGCGCGGCGCAATCGTAAATATTCAGCTACTTTTCCAGGCATATGAATGAAACTCGTGCAGGAATCAGGAATTCGGATGGTTTCATCTATTGGCGGTGTATATCATTTTGAATGAATCACGCAGGTCTCGAAAAATTTTCAAAAACGACGACCTTATTTTCTGCAGAGCTTAAATTGAATAATAATTGTTACATACTACTTATACGTATTGTTGCTGTTGCAGCGCGCAATCTTTCGGCTTTAAAGTAGTTGTCAACCTACACACTATTAGAGGTATCGATATGCGATGAGTGATAAATATATCACAACGCTCAATGGTGTCGGGATCATACCATATGATCTAATTATAATATTTCGAGTCGTTCGCGGTACAATATAAGAACCGAGATTTACGTATAATGTCTGCACGTTTATGTACTCGAATTCTTCGATTTTCATATTATCAAAGGCGTCAATATATCATAAACACGGATACAATGTATACAATTTAAACAACACGTTTGTTTTCGGAAATTTTCAGAGCAAAATCCAAAAACGGTGGACGGCTATTACGCGAAAAACTCGAAAAAATTGGCCTAAACCTGCCGGCCGGACGAAGAAAGGCCGCAAACGTCACGCTGCTCACGTCGCTCGTCGAAGGTATGTAACCCAATTTTTATATATTATTATTACAATAAAAATTATTTTTCTATACACCACTTACACACCATGCAAACATGAAATCGATATGCCGAACAAGTCTAATATTTTCCAATCGCACCCGCGTGTAAACAGCATAATATATAATATGCTAACTAAATCTTATTACATCTACGTGTTAATAGATAAAGATATTCAAAATTTGTTTTGTACACAAAGTGGCGACAGAAAACGGTCGTCAATCGACGAAATGAAACGTTTCGACGGAAACCGGAACCGTCCATTTTATATTATAATATTGTGTCATAATAATGCATTATTTTAAAACATTTCAAAAATKTWTGTATTTTGTCGTTGATGTCTATCGTTGGTGCGACTTTTTCATATTGAACTTATACGATGACCCACATCGATATAACCGTCACGCAAACCTTCGAAAGGATTGCGGCGGCGGCGGCGACGACTTTATGTACTTATAATATACGTTTGTCGTGTTGAGGACGTCTTCCTGCGTGCGATAAATCTCTCGATACTGTATATCGTGTGTGACGTCATGCGGCCGCTGTCACTCTGAAATGTCGGCCTAGGGGCTAGGACGGAAAAGTATAGATAATTATGTGTAGGTATATATATATATAAGCATTATAAAAATGTAGGTATAGGTATTTCCTGTCAAGTGGCCAATGATGTGAGGGCGAATTCCAGGATTTTTTCAGCTATCGTCAAATATGTGTGTTTTATATCAGAGTCGTATCTGTTCTGATATAAGTACCTACATTGGTTCTATTTTTTGATAGTTTAATTTTCGTTTTGTATTTAAATTKTTGAAAATAGAATGTAACTGCTACTTCGAGAACGTTACAAAAACGTTAAGGGCTTTGATTTTTTTTTTTGTTATTAGTTTGAACAATATTCGATTCAATAGAAAGCTATATATTATGCGAAGCTTACAATTTTCACAATATTAAAAATCCATATTCAAAGGATAATAAGTACCGTAAAGTGATTTTTCTCGCTTAAAATGGCCTTAACTTTAAAACTATTTAACTAAAGGTTCTATTTTAATACTTATAAGAAGAAACACAAAAATAAATATTTTTTAATCGTAGTAATCCAAAAAGTACAGTTCGGACTATAATATTATAACTGTGACTCTCTAATTTATACATTTCATTGGCGGTTACACAAAATCATATTACAAAAATATTATTTCAAACTATTATCAGTACAATAATACATATACCATGTTTTAATAATAAGGACAAACACTGCAACTATACATATTATACACCTTGCATAATATTCGGATATTTTTCAAGTATTCCATCCGTCGGTGTATATACCTAAAAATATTGTATTATACGCGATTATACCGACCACAAGACGTGTGCGCAAAACTGAAAAACGGGCCAAAAACGTGCTTCATTTGTGCTCGCGAAATTAACGTTTGCGGTCGTCTTCGGCGGTGTCGGAGTTGAGCTGTGCATATAGTATTATAGTCATATTATAGAAATATATTATGTGTTGTGAAGCCCAGCCGCGGACAACGTTGTTCATTTCGATCGTGTGTTACGCCCACCGCCTGAATTTTTCCCGCATCCGGAATTTCGCGGTTCGGAAACACAGTTATATACCTACTGCAGTGTATTATAATATCATATGTTATTAATATGACTGTGCGTCTGATAATCAAAAAGAAAAACTGAAATTATTATAAAATCCTTAAGCCTCATCGTTAGAACACGATGCATAATGTTTCAAATGACCGCCAAGCGTATTATGTACGCGAATACCTATAATATGTATTACAGACATATGATACTATTATATAGATATTATTATTGGTACATGCAATTGTTTCTAGTGATCGAAATTCTTTCAATTCGTAGATACCTACGCCAATTACATATTATACATATATACGATGTATTCAGTCCCGGCTGAAAGGATAATATAGTCGACATAGGCTCACTTCTAGAACTCCATTGCAAAACAATTATAATATTATATTAGGGGCGGAAAAATTTGATTTTGCCTGGTGCATTATTTTCGCTGAAGTCCTGTTTAAGTTAAGAGAATTATAAGCTTTTTGGGAAGCTTAAGTTTCCGTGTTAAAGTCGTATTCTTCTAGATATAGTGTATATAGCTGTAAATATATAGTGACAATTGATTTCCTGGAGATATTTCACACAGCATCTGTAACGCCTATTCCGCATGAAAAACATTTGCTTCAATAAACATATTTTTTATTTCAATTTTAATTTGTCTTGAAATTTATTTTTCGAATTAAGTTATTCAAACCGAAACTACGGCCTCCAAAATTCTATAATTTTCTTTTCCGGACTACGAAAGTGCCAATCAAAATCTGCCAGCTACTGAACCGACGGTCGTAATACTGCGATACTATTTCGATTTTTATCAAAACTATCGCACTCACATGACGAACAATCTTTGGATGACAGACCACGGCTGGTTATCACGCAAAACATCGCTTAGCCTCGATTGACTCGTTTCTGTCGACGCATTCTTCATAGTGGCAGCGTGTGTGTGTGTATTAAAATGTATAATATRCCGTGCTTTATATATACCACGTTATTATTATCACACTTTGCGTAAACATACAAAACACTATCGAGACGTCGGGCCCAAACGCTGGCACATAGCTCTGTTCGTGGACAATCGGACACTATTTGCAGCTATCGGGCACATACTCGTATACTGTCGGCCAGAGGTGTTACATCGCGGCAGAGGCCGTTCGCGAGATATTATAACGTGGTTTTTTTGCATCGCGTTGCATATGCATTTACTTGTATGAGTGAGTGTGTGTGTGTGCATAAGTATTAAGTATATTCAACGCGGTCCGACGATGACATCAGGTGCCCCAGTCGAAGTCGGCAAATAAGAAACGGTTTTGCAGCGGTTGATTTATGGCTCGGGTGGTCGGCAACAATGGTCTCTTCTCGACTCGGCGCAACGGTCGAGGTGTAAAAGGATAAAATATATTATATTATGTGCGCGAACGCGCGCGCACGCAAATAGAAAAATAAAAATAATAATAATATAGAAAAAAGGAGGCACCGGTATGTAGATGTACCTCCTATACGTATATAGCGTGTAGATACTAGAGAGAGAGAGAGAGAGAGAGAGAGAACGAGAAAGAAAGAGAAAGAAAAGCAGAGAGAAAAAGACTTGCAGGCGGTAGATGAAATAGATTCAACCGATCGCAATCATTGCCCAGTAATATACATGTACCTATAATAATATTATACATACATATATAGCGTATCATCGTATCTATAGGWATGTAATATAAACCTATACTATACACGACTTATCAACAAGCAAAAAAAAATGGTTTGAAAGAAAGGAAGTTTGATCATAGTATATATACATAATACATACATATTATACACGATTGCTGCGTATTATGTTCGTAAATCGCTTAGGCATATTATATATTATTATGTCCAACATCCCCCGAGAAGAAATTATCCCTCTATAGTATATATTATCTATATAATTGATATAACATATGACTTTTAAAATAATTAATAAAACCATAATACAGTATACAGCTTATCGTTTACATTCGCTTAAAAAACAGCAACTGACACATTAGAGATACGGTCGTTTATTTAGATTCGAAATTCTATATCGCAATGATTAAGTATTACTCAGATCAATTAAAAATCGTTTTTCCTACGACCAGATTAAGTATACGATTTATAGGAGCTCCTTCGGTTTATAAACGACACATATAAAATACGATGAGATTCTTTATATACCTTACATAAAAGTTTTCTAGTGCCTATGGGTCACACATTCAACAAACAGCCAGATCGAGAGTTGTTCGTGGATAGTTAAATTCTGCTGGAATGGACCGCATGGTTATATTATAATGTTAGGACGATCCTACGGTTCGATTAAGCATGAAATTGTAATCGGTAAAAACATAAGACCGTGGTAGTATCATAATTACTATAATCACACAGTTCGCACCATTATATTAGACTCGTTTTGAGTGTATTTATACACATAATGATAATATTAAAGGATACTTATGTATGCACATTGCACACACACGCACATAATTGACGACACGCCCCGCTTATACACATTGTGTTATTCCGGAGCATACCCAAATTATAATAATACATAATGCCTAAGTAGTATAGCAGCTAGTAGTAGTTAATGAGTGTTTTAAAAAACATTCGGAAGTGGACGTTTTGTCKTGGACGCGCGCTCGTCATAATTATGCTGCTACTGCTATTCAATAAATCGCACGCCACTGCCGTGACGACCGCGTTGTGGTCTTATCGCACCTGGCGATTCGTTATACGAACAATATCACATAAAGATATAATGTGTAAAGATAGGTAGAAAGACAAAGAGATTATTTCGGAGATAACATGTTGTTAGGAAAATATATAACACAACTTAGTCCAACTAGCGAGAGAGAGAGAGAGAGTAAGAGAGATATGTAACACAAAAATATTAATATTTTTAGAAAAATAATACAAACACAAATATACAAGAGTATTGGCTATATATCTCGTAAAGAAAAAAATTCCCTCCCAAACTTTTGCCAGCTTCGTGCCGTCTGTATGTATATTGTTGTTTTCACGGCGGCGCACAAAAATGTTATGGCGTCGGAGTTTCGATTTGCGGTTTTTTTTTTTTAAATATATATTGGCGCTCGTTAAGCGTCGATATTGCTCATACGCCTAAACGTATAATAAACCATACACCGACGGATAATAGTATTATATTTAATCGTATACCTATACGACGATGATCGATGGCCGCAGCCGTCGATCGGATTTCCCGTTACGACAATCATCGTCGTCTCGAACACTGAGCAACACTGCAGGCTTAGGGAATTATTAACCTACTTTTTGTCGCMACCGTCCCGACCTCGCGGCGGCTGTTATATTATTTCGTTATATTGTACGTAATCACCCCGCGTATACATATCATTATTATTGTTATTATTGTTGTTG